AGGAATCGGCTCCTGCAGGAATCAGCATTAATTTGGTGTCCATCCCACAGAGGTGACATTGTATCACTCCAAACCAGCGGTGACAACTGAGGGAACACAGCTCAGAGCCGCTCCTGACCAGAAGGCAGGGGACGAACAGGCACAGCCCCATCCCAGAAGAAGGAGCCACCCTCCCCCACTGTGGGACCCTTAGCGGAGGTTCCAGCTGACTGCACATGGCCACAGGAAATGGTGTGGATGAGCGGCCATGGGGGGTAGGGAGAGGGGTGGCCCTGCGTCCAGATAACTGAGAAGACAACCCCGCCGCCCACGAGATGCTGGCTTATCTCAGGGGACAATTACCCAGCTATTACAAAGCTGAAACTGACCGTCCGGAGAGAAATGTAGGCATCAGGGGTTATCCGGTCCCAAGGAAGAAAACAGGAAAAACAATGACATCTGAATGACTTCAAGTTTGGAGAGAGAGGATGTGTGTGTGTGTGCATGAGAGAGACCGAGGGCCACAAGCGAGCCCTGGGCAGAGGCAATGCTAGGCCACCACATCAACACTGGGTCGCACCCAGGCTGCAGACAAGCACTCAAAGCAGATTGGTAGCCGATGGAAAGCATAAACCCAATTTTCTTATTATTTTCAAGTCCAATGAGACCCATCAAGCAGAGGAAGTAAACCCACGGCAGCCACCACCCAGATGCAGATGCCCTGCCGGACAGGCAGACAAATCCTTCATGCAGGCCACGCATCCAGTTTCACTGCTCAGAAAGCAGGGCTGGGTGCTAGTAGGGAAGGGAGCCCTGGGGGGCGTTCCTCCAGCCCCGAAGGCTGGCCTGATTCCGAACACAGAAATGGGCGTTAGCAGGCCACGCCGGTTACGCATCTGCACCCAGGCCCCGGCTACACCACCCCTCAGCCAGCTCAGGGTGACCCAGCTACCCTACACCACCTCTCAGGGTTCTGGCTGGACATCCCCGGTCACTGTCCAGCTCCCTCACCAACCAGTGGTGTAACCTTGGGCGGTATCCACTCTGAACCTCAGCTTCCTCCACTGACGGCACCTCCACTACAGAGCTATTGAGGATCAAGCGAGGTGATCCCCGTGGGCTGCTGAAGACCAGGTGCCACGCGCACGGGGTAGGCACTCAACAGACACTGTCACCATGCTCAGGACACCTAAACCCACAGCCACCGTTCCAGCCCTCTTCCCTGCCTCTGTGGGCGTGGCCTCACACCAGACTCTCAACTAAACCTGCTTTAGGGTTACACCCCACCTCATCCCCAGATGCATCTGCATTTTCTAGTAGTGCCTCACCTGTAGCAAAAACGTGTGCAATGATCAACTAGGAGGAGGGGTCCCTGCCTTCAAAGACAGCCACAGGAGGTCACTCCCACGGTCTGGGGCTGCCGTGCATGGCTGCACAGATCGTGCAGGGTGTGGCTCCAGTGCACGCCATTCCCTCTGGCAACTCGCCGTGGGCATCCTAAGTTCTGTTTTCTACCCCCATCAAATCCAGAACTCGATTGCAGGGGAATCTATCTGAGTCACAGCCCCGCCAGCTCTGCTGCCCCCTCTTCCTCTCATTTCGTCTGTTGGCAAACTTGAAAAGAGACTGATTCACTCTCAGGCAAGGAACAGCTCCTGCCGAGACAGCTGGAGGGGAGGGCTGGGTGATGGATGCTCTGCAACCAAAACCTTGTCTAAACGGAACCCAGGCCAATACTGATGGCCCACCACATTCAGTTTAAAAATCAAACAGTAAGCCCTGACCTGTGTGGCTCAGTTGGCTGGGCATCGTCTCGTGGGGCAAGGAGCTGCTGGTTCGATTATTGGCTGGAGCACGTGCCTGGGTTGCAGGTTCAGCCCCTGGTCAGGGCACATGCAGAAGCAGCTGATCAAGGTTTCTCTTTCTTCCTCCCTACCCCTCTCTCTAAAATAAACAAAATATTTTTAAAACATCCAAGATTAAATTCTCAGAATGAGGGTGTGACACCACATGCTCTCATTCCTGGGTGGGTAGGTAGATGGTAAATTTTATAGTGCGTGTATTTTCCCACAACAAAAAAAGAAAATTAAAACAACCTCAGTGACTCTCAATGGTCTCGTCACACCCTTGCTCCGGGGATGGTTCTGGAGGAGAAACTGAGGACAGAACACAAACATGACTCCTGCCCTGAGCAGGCCCAGCTTGAAGGCCTCAGGACAAGTCACACGCCATCACAGGACCAACCGCTGAGTCTCACACCCTACCCTGCTCAGCTCCCCAGACGCTGGCTGCTCGGGCCCTGGGGCCTTTGGCTTTCAGGGTCCTCCAGCATCGCTTTTCCACTTGTCACCGTCAGAGGGGACAGCACCGCTGACCCTCCCAGCTCTAGGCCACGTGTGCCTCCAACTGAGGCGGGAGTGCAGTGTCCTGTTTCCAAGTGCAGGGCACAGGTAAAGCAGACCAAACAGGAAGAGACTCGACCCAAGTGTGCCGAGGAACGTGTGGAGCTCTGCTGTGACCACGTGACTGTGTCAGAAGGCACCAGCCCAGGCTTGAGTGTACAACAGATTAAGATCCCCCACCATGAAGTGCAAGACCGAGTGGGGCTCGTCTGCACCAGGACCGGGAAGCTGGGGAGGTTACGTAAGGCCACTGGCCCTGCCACCTCCTCGGATGTCGATGATGCCGCTGCTGCAGGTGTGCTTGCCCCAGACAGGACGACGCCCCAGTCACATAGCTCTGTTCCGTGACACGGGCCCCCCACTACACCTGACATACTGCCTGTAGCTCGATGCCATGACTCAGTCCCCAAAAGTCGGGCAGGGACCAGGAGAGGCAACCACAAATCAAAACAGCCCTGCTGCCAGTCTCCAGCCTCCTACAGGAGTCGGACACACAAGCAAACAGGAGCCCTGCGTGTCACAGGTATTACCGTGGAGCAGGGGACACAAAAGGGAGAATGGGCGGGAGACAGATCCTGTGAGTCCTCCACCCCCAGGCCTCCAACAAATCCCCTCTCTGAGTCTGAAGTGACTGCTGCTGCTACAAAGCTTGACTGATAGGATCAGTGAGAGGAAACTCACCCCTTGAGCAATGAGGCACTTACTGCTGAAATTGTGATGGCTTTTTCATCTCCGATTCGGAGTTCCTTTGGAAAATAGGGACTGATTATTAAACCATCAGATTAGCTGGCAGAAACGCACACCTAGGAACTAACATTTTATCTGCCCTCGTGCCGGCAGCAAACCCTGACGTTTTTTCAATTAGGATTCTGTAAGCAGGGAGCCCACGGCTGGACATGCGCTCGGCTCGAGGAGCAAGGGCAGGCCGTCCCTCTCCTGCAGGCAGAGAGGGTCAGACCTGCAGTCCGTGCCTCATGCCGTCCCAGGATGCCCTCCCAGGATGCTGGTGGCCAATGACTTTCAGGCAGGCGGGCGTCTCCTCTCTGCCACAGGCAGAGGCTTGCTCCTTGCCGTGTGGGGTGGTGATGTGGGCACCAGGCAGCCCAGAGTCATCAGAAAGCCGGCAGCTGCCTCCACCAGGTGGGGACTCCATGCCTCTGTCTTCCATTTCCAAAGCAAGCATTCACTGAAGGGCCCCCTTCCAGGTCTAGAGCGGACATTTAGGCTCAGAGGCTAGGAATCTTTTGCCTTCGTTTTGCAGGCCAACCAATGATGAAAGACCTAAAACTCAGTTCTTCCATCCCTTACGAGTAAGGGAAGCAGGGCAGCGGGAGGGTCTTTGAAAAGTCACCTGGTACTTCAGAAGGAACCTCACCTACATCAGAGATTTGCGAAAGAATAATTTTTTTTAGGTAGTGAAACTCCAGGTTGATTGGAGATGTTTCCTGAAGAAAAGAGGCCCAGTTCTGGCTGCAGAGGTGGGTGCAGAAGGGGGTGCAGGGGCTCTGCACAGACTGTCCCCACCCCTGAGCACCCCCAGAGCTCACTGGTGGGTACACATCACTCAAGATCAGGGCATACTCTAGTTTAAGGGACCTCAGAGAGCCGAGGAAGTCAGTGGGCAAAGCTCCCCACGACATTTTACACTTGTTTGGGGCAGCCGTCTCGAACTAGGCACAATCTACACTGTGATTCTAATACTTAAAACAGCCTGAGGCGCGCGCGGTCACCTTCCCATCCCTCCCATCACCAAGGGGGAAAACGATGCAGAGAAAATGTAGTCACTGCAGGAGGCGGCCTGGCACTGTAGCCTCATCCCCCAACTCTTTTTGGAAGGGGGATTCTTTATGTGGGCTGTGCGTGTTTTCTGTCTTGTGTAAAGTATAATGTGAAAGTATTCCTTCCAGAGTACTACCTAAATACCTCTTACAGCAATACTGCCAAGTGCCTGTGAACAGAGAGGGCGAGTAACCTGCCACACGTCACACAGCTACCACGCAAGGGAGCTGGGCTTCAGACGGGCTGTGTGCTTCCAATGCCCACGCACCTTCCAGCAGGCCTTGCGGCTTCTCCGACCTAAATGTGCAGGCTGCTGCCCGGTCTCAGGGGACGCTGAGGCCTGGCCACCATCCTCTGTGGACTGATTTTCACAAGCAAATGGACTTCCCTCCCACAGCACACCCTCTGTTTTGCAACAGTGCTGGCCTTCACTCATGCAAAGAGGGTGCCGCCGTTGCATCACCCGCACTATCACCGGAGGGATTTCCAAAGGTGACACTGACAGGGCGGATTTTTGTCTCCGATCCACCGCTGATGACACTAATGCTTGGACAGCCATCGCAGCAGACCTGGTGGCCCTGCTGCTAAAACCAGGCTTGCATTTTAGGAACTGTGACTGGGCCGGAGGATGGCAAAGCAAGGCTGGAGCCCGAGGCCCTCCCCTTTCTTCCCTTTCCTTCCAATGAGCCGCCGGCCTTGGGGTTTCCTTCACGCGCCTCCCCAAACCGGCTCCGCGTGGGCCCTCTCGTCGGCAGGGCTGCAAACATGGGGTGAGAAGAACGGCCTCCCTGACGGAGGGAAAGAGAGAGAAGACAACAAATGGAAGAGGCACCGACTCACCAGCTGAAACGCGGTCTGAGGAGCAGCGGGAAGGGCACAGAAAGGGCGTGCGGTTTCAGACCACGCACGCGAGGGCTCTGCACACCCCCAAATCATCTGAGGCGACAGGTTTATATGGGGGGGGCGCGGACCGCTGGAAAGCGGAAGGACGCAGTGCTTTGCTCCAAGTGATCTACACAGATGTTTGCTCAGTTTCTCTCACATGTTCTTGTACACTGTCGGTGGGAGGGAACTGGCACTCACGGAGGAGGAGTTCGCCTGAATCTCACAGAGTCGACGGGTATTAAGGTCAACAGACAAAACAGCAGAGCTGCGAACGCTCTTTCAAACCGGTACCCGAGAGTCTCTGTGAGAAACAAAACCGACACCAACTGCCGACACTCACGCTCCAGGTGACAGGCGTCCTGGCAGCTCCCCAATGCTCTGTCCTCCCTTCCACTGGTCTCGTGGCTTCTGCACACGCTGTTCCCTCCTCGGGACACTGCCCTTCCTGCTGGCTTCTATGCACCCTCGTAACCCCGCTGGGGTGCCACCCAGGCTGAGCAGCACTCCCAGAGCTCAGCCTCCAAGGGGCCTCCTCCCCGCTGAGCCAGGCCCCCCGGCCCCCATGCTCTCCAGACGGTCACACTGTCCTGCCATGTTTGTCTCCTCCACGCAGGCGGGGCTCCTGTCTGCTGCCGCTCAGTGCCTGGCATGGGCGTCAGTCAGGAAAATTTGCTGAATGATGGAAAACTGGAAGAAATATATGGAAGGGTGGTGTGAGGGGAGTGTCATTAACGACAATGGGAATGCAAACAGTCACACAAAACAGACAATCTGTCTTTGCAGGCGTGAATAAAAACAGCTTCTGAAATCTCTAGCTGGCTAGATACACAAGGATCGCAGAAGTCAAGACTCGTGAATCTGGTCACGTGGCCCAGCTTCCATGCGAAGCAGGAAACACGCGTCGGCCTTGCACTGAGTCAAACACATCGCTGACGCTCCCTGTCCTGGCAGACGTCTCTCCCTCCAGAGACACCGGCTGCCTGCCTGTCTTCCACTGGAGAAGAACAGCACACCAACTGCAGCAGAGAGGTTTTCTTCCCACTGCCCCAACTCTCTCCCACGCGTCATCCCCAACAGAGAGATGCAAAAGAACTGGGGGGCTGGGGGTCCTGCCCAAAGCTGAGCACTTTTGTCCTTGGGGAAATGGAGTGTGGCCGCCTCCTGAAAGGACAGCATCCGCCCCTCCCCTTCTCGACAGGCGGTCGTAGAGGGCGTGGGACTAACTCTCAGTCCCGGGGTGTCTAGCAAGGCCTTGGCACACAGGGGACTCTCAGAATATTTCATCCTTGGGCTTTTACCAACAGAACCCAGTGTCAGCCTCATGCCCTCACTTTCCAGGCCTCAGCTCCTTCCCCCTGAGAGTTCCATCAGATGGAACAAGATGATGTACTTTTTAGAAGTCACAGTCAAAGCCATTTCTACTGCTAGAGTCATAAAGCGAGGGTCTGACCCTGGTGGGAGGGCAGTCACACCAGAGGCAACAGCAGCTACCTGGGCCTACAGCAACCACACGGTGGAGAAGGGAAGAAGCGTGAGAATTTTCAAATACTGCTCTTCCTCCTGCATGGCAAATCAGGTGCGTGGCAGAGCCACGGAAGGGCGCTCCCTCACCCAGCTGCGACGGCACAAAGGCAACTCCAACTTGAACACCCGGACAGGGAATTCGGTTCCTCCTACTGAGCACAACTGTGTAGCTGGAAGCCATCCTCACCCACATTCCAGCCCCTTCCCAGCATCCCTCTGGAGAATCAAGACAAGGGAAGGCCAAAAAAAAAAAGAGTATAGCGCCTCCTGATCACCTGGAATCCCTTTACCCATAAAAGAAACTTCTAACCAACTGTCTTCCTTCCTACACGGCCCTCTCTTCCCATTCCCCACCCACAAGGGAGAAAACAATGAGGCCACTGTGATCACCGTGACTCTGACCTTTAAATGTTTAACCAGGGACCTATTTCTTAAGAGCCAGATAAATAGGCAGGTGATTGGCTTTCAACATGAATCACAATATCCCCACAGAGAAATAATTCAATTAAATATTTAATGGCCTGTAGTTAGTTTGAGGCCCTGTTTAGGAGCGAGCCTTGTTAGCACAGCAGGCTGAGGTCTCCAGAGTGAAGAAGGGATCAGCGGCCCTGCCCCCACCCCCGTCCCCCCAGGAGGAAAAGGAGTTCAGGGGTGCTAGACCTGGAGCTGGAGAACCAAGCGCTGAGGCAGGAAGACGCTCATGACAGCGCTGGGGCTTTGTCTTCCCTATCACAATGGGGACACAGGCTGTGTCCTCTTACAGACCAGTCCTTGTCACATCTCCCAGAGAAATCCTCATTAACCCTTGGGGAGTCACAAAGGTCCGCAAGGGGGTTCTTGGCACTGAAGGGTAGGTTTCAGGGGTGGGTTAGGTTTTGTTCCTGTGGCTTTTAGTTGAGAAGCCCCTCCCAGGTTCCCAGAGAAGAAGGGGAGGAGGCCTAAGGCAAGGTCGGAGCCCCGACAGGCCCATCCCTGCAGGAGATTGGGAGCTGGTCAGTCGACCTGCCATTGTCAGTCCGTTCGGAAGCTGCAGTCCAGGCTTCCGAGGCAGCACCCAGTGGTATCTAATCCTGAGAACTGTTCCAGCTGGGGGGTTCCAACACGCTGCCGAGTGCGGTCACCCCACAGAGAACGGTCCGCCGCACCCCCCCCCATGCTGCCCTCTGAACGCACACGGACGCTGCCCTTCCTCACGAAGACACAGGGGACTGGCGCGCTCGACTTCCTGTTCGTGTGTGTGCATCTAACTTGTCCTGTTTCCCCAGACAGTTTCCGCTAAGATACGGACCCATCCCCACTGTGACCGCTGCAACATGTGACTAGGCTCAGTTCTGTGAACACCACATTTTCTTTATACAAAACATAAATAAATCTGGCACCCCAAAGAGGTGGGTGTCCCGACCCTCTCCCAAAACAACTCATCTGCACGGTGAACTTCTGCTGAATTAAGAAACTGGCCCCAAAGAGTGAAACTTATAAAATTAACCAACCCATTGAAGCATCTGATTTAAAACCAAACAAAAACTCAGAGCAGCTAAAACTCAGGAAGTGCCTTCTGAAATCAAATCACCAAGTCGCCCTTCCCTGGGAAGGCAGGAAGACCGCTTCCTCTCTCCTCCGGGTGAACTGGTCAGGGCTGCTTAAACCAGCTAAAAATGAAGTGGGACCCCCACTGGGACACGCCAGTCAGCACTCAAGCCCCCACTCAAGACCTGTCACTGTGCAAAGACGTGTACAGGACAGAAGAACACGTCAGGCCCTGCCCTCAAGGCTGGGATCCCCGAGTGGAAGAGCAGGGCCCGTGCGCATGGTATTTATTCGCCAGGTGCACACAAGGTCCAACCCACACTGCGTGCAGGTGGCAGGAGAGAGAGCACCATCTTTTCAAGCAAGGCGGGGCCATTACTGGAAGATTCTCCGCCCAGGTTGTAAAAGAAGGGACGGAGAGGGCATGGGCCACAGTGTAGAGAGAAAGTGACCCAAAGCAGCCCAGACTCAGGTGGCAATGTGACAAAGAAAGGGAAGAAGAAGGAATGGGTGCAGGAGAGCAGCAGGGAGCCGTGTCTCTTCAGCTTGAGAGCCCGAGAGGGATGAATGAGGCAGGACTGGGAACCAAAGGTCAGCCTGACATTGAACGAGGCAGGACTGGGAACCAAAGGTCAGCCTGACACTGAACGAGGCAGGACTAGGAACCACAGGTTAGTCTGGCGTTTGGTGCAGGTGACCTCGACCGGGGCACCATGAACAAGCATGGAAATCCAGAGGAGGCAGCTTGGCTTGGAGAGTCTCAGGTGGCATTGGCAGGAACAATATCCCTGAGTTGCAGAGGGACGTGGATGGTGCTGAAATAAATGTGTGTTCAGGTGAAGGCAGCCCAACGAGCAGACGGCTGGAGGACAAGGCTGGAAGCCGAGCCAAAGAGGTGGGTTTGCCCACAGCAGGGAGCAGGCATGGGCACGGGAATGAAGGCACCCCCCAAAGCCCTCCCCGACCCTCCACGTTACAAATGGCAGACGTCTGGCAAGTGCCTGGGAATGTCCTGACGCTCACTCAGTGCGCTCTACTTGTTTCATAGACAGATGCCGTGAGCCACGTGCCCATACTTCCCCCCTACGGGCCTCAGCAGCATGTGGCCCCCGATCTGTCAGGACCCTGATGTGTGGAGCTCAGACCCAAATATGCAAACCATGCCTTACTGGGGAAATGGTTTTCTGGACAGGGCTTCAGGCCTGGGGGCCAGGAGCACTAGCGGATGAGAAGGCGCCGTGCGTGAACGGCCTCGTCCTTGGGGGGCAGAATGAGGCTCCCGTGCTGGCTCTGCCTCCTGCTGGTGCCTGACCCTGGAAAGGGTTTTTCTGAGCCTCGGTGTGCTCACCTGTAGAAGGGGCCTCTCTTCCCACCTCAGAAGATTCTAGTTAAAAAACGTGATGAGAGGGATCACAGGACAACTCGCTACAGAATGCAAAGCCCTCCATGAGAACCAAGGCTTCTGGGCAAGTAGCAGACTCCTTCCAGTCCCTGCGCTGAACCTATCACAACAACTCTGAGTCCTTCTTACCGGCAGGAGCCCCGTTCGTCCATCCGGAGAAACGAGTGTATGGCTGAGGGCTGAAGGGTAACAGAAGCTGAGACAGGCACAGGCTTCCACGGCGGGGCTCGGCTGGCACAGACCATCTGCCGGCGAGGCACCTCTCCCTGAGGCAGCCCAGTGTTGGTGTGGGAGAGCAGCCCTCTCCCCCGCACACCCCCTCCCCATATATATAAAAACAGCATCTTTGAGTTCCTGGTGAAAGGGTTTCAGTGCTCCAGCTGCAGACTCGGCTACACAGCCTCTTTAAACATATCTCATTCCTTTTATTTCCTGATGAACAGGCTCCAGACGCTGCGGATGGGGGAGGCTACACATCCTCTTCGTGAGCAAACCCTCACACACAGCAGCGCGTCCCTCCAAGAAATCCAGATGGCAGACGGCAGGACTGTATCCGTGCCCCATCCTCACTGCCTCCCTGCGCCTCCCAGTTGGCTCACGGGGTCAACTCTGCACAGTGTGTGACTGCAGCTTAAGCATAAATGCACCTACTATGTGCAGAGCCTGATAATGACAGCAAGGGAAAGGCTGAAAGTGTGTGACACCAGGGCCAGGTCTGTGAAGCCCAGCACCATGCTGACGAGCAGGAGCAGGACAACGACCAGAGAGACCAGACAAAAGCAAGACCAGTCCTGGTCACGGGAGGTGGTTAGAAATGACCAGAGCTCAGCGAGGACAGGTCAGAGGGCCCCGGCAAGTTCTGTTGGGGGTACCGGGTTGCAAGTGTCTTCCCCTGGGCGTGACCCCAGCCTCTTCTCCAGGAGGCAGGAGAGAAAGCAAGCAAGGGCCGCACTGCCATGGTGATCGTCACAGGGATGGATGGACGCTGCCCTGGCGCTAAGAAAGGTCTCTAGAGGCATCTCCCGGCCACTGCGGCTGATGAGCCAGCAGTTTGCTCCCCGCCCTGCCCGGCCTGCACCCACGGGCTGGAAGGGAGCCTGTCAGAGGATATTGCTTCATCCGGAGTCCTCTGCACACTCCCAGTCACCAGGAAGCAGCTGCAGGGTCTGGGCCAACACTTGCACGGGGAGAAACTCCCGGAGTCTCGAAAGGCTGCCACCTGTTCTCCAAAGAGAAAGTGAGGCTGTGCTTATCCTCTCCCAGGCTGTGCTGGCACCTCTGACCTTGGTGTCTTCGCAGCGCCCTTGCGCTGTTCGAAGACCTGGAGCCATCCCACCTGTCTGAAACTGGATCAATCAAGTTATTTAGTTGGCACTCGAAGGCTGAGGGCTGGCTATCAGGGAGAAATCAGAGCTTCATCACTGTATCGGTAACACCTACTGAGCGCCACTGCGTGCATTAGATACTTGAACCTTCCCTTCTGCACGACCCCCCAAGACAGGTACCTCGACTTTATGAAGGAGGAAACTGAGGCTCACAGAGGTTACGTCATTTACCCACAGTGACAAAAGGAGAAGGTATTGGGGGCAGGAGTCAAAGCAGGACGCTCAACCCCCATTCTCAACTCCTCCTCCACAACACAGAGCCACAGCCAAGAGGGAGAGGGGACATGGGACAAGGACAACAGCGGAAGACATCAGGAAACATCCATGAAGAGCGAAGGCTGGGATCAGAGCCTGAGCAGCACCACGGGCCCCCCAGGCACCTGCGAGTGGGGTGTGATGCAAGGAGAGGCAGGCCAGGGCCAGGTGGGAGGGCGAACGGCCCCAGGTACCGGACCGCGGTGCCCAAACTGCCACAGGCAATAAACAGGGGCCCAGGGAAGACGAGCAGGGACGCAGTGCGAACTACACTTGGAAAGGGAACTGTGGCACTGCTGTTTCCTACGGACAGACCCTTCCCACGGCTAGAACACGCGTGACGATGGGAAGTACAGAACGGCACACTCGACGGAGCAGAAGTCAAGGCGTGGCAGGCGGACAGGACGTGCTTCCGTCACGATCTGCAGCTCTGAACCTCAAGGCGTCAGCCTAGCTGCTCCTGGTCTTCTCCCTCTCAGATCCTGTTCCCCAGGACACGGTGCCAATTATCTCTTCCAATTAAACCACTGCCGAGAGACATGAAGCCCAATGGCACAAACCAGCAGCAGGAAGCCCACCCACCCCCGGGCTGGCATTTGTGACCCTGATTAGCCGGAAGGCTCTGTCTCCCGCTCCCCACGGGGAACCCGCCTAAAGAACCG